ACAAAAACTAACCCCTAAGTACGAAAATACTGCTTGGCTACAAAAACTAACCCCTAGGTACGAAAATACAGCTTGGCTACAAAAACTAATCCCTAAGTATCGAAAATACAGCTTGGCTACAAAAACTAACCTCTAAATACGAAAATACTGCTTGGCTACAAAAACTAACCCCTAGGTACGAAAATACAGCTTGGCTACAAAAACTAACCCCTACGTATAGAAATTAAAGTAACTGCACAATGCGTAGCGCAATTTTATGTATTTTTGCTTTTTGACAGTCACTACACGATATCTGATTAGAATTCACCTATTTTTGGACAAAAATTTAATAACCCGTATGGAGAAATTTAAAACCATGTCACTAATGGCTAGCGCACGCAAGAAAATAACCCTTTCTTTGTTTAGCTTCTTACGATCAAGTTATTGGTTGTAGAACTCCGCCAATGCATGGACTTTTCACATTCTTCGGTTGAAATTACAGTATTTATATTTTTATATTTCAGAGGTCCAGAGAACTCTTAGTGACATCTCTGCCTGTAAGTATACGAATATTTTTTCAATATTTTCATGCGTACATTTCTAAGGTAGGTTACAATTTTTTTCAAAGATTTGAATTTTAAATATTAAATTCATATAAAGAAAAACACTATACAAAATTCTTGATCACAGTATTGAAAGTGTTCAACATAAGCCCGTGCTTTGCAGTAGCAACTTATCGTTGCTGCTTACTCAAATCATTTGGGAATAATAACATAACTTTGCTAGAGTTTAGAATAAAAAAATCACTTTCAAACATTAGAATGTTCTAAAAATAATGGCCAGGTGGTTAAGGCGCTCGACTCGCAATCTGAGGGTCGCGGGTTCGAACCCCCTATCACACCAAACATGCTCGCCCTTTCAAAGAGGGAAGGCTGTCAAGTGGGTTGCATACTTGACGTAAGAAACAGCTTTAGAAACTATGAGAAATGGAAAAAAACAATATCGCAGGTAAGTGTACTCTTTACTTACAAGTATCAGCCAAGTTATTTGTTTCGTTTTGAATTTCTTGTCATTTCCATATCAGTATTTGAAGGTGTCTAGCGATAGATTAACATTTATGGTTATACTAGTTTTTATCCTTAGCGCTTAATTCTAGTTTTTATTTTATTTTCTTCTTAACTGGTGGTTAGGGGGCGCTCGACTCGCAATATGAGGGTCGCGAGTTCGGTTTGAATCTTTATCACCGAATATGCTCGTCTTTTTAGCCGTGGTGGAGTTATAATATGACGGTCAATCCCACTATTCGTTGGTAAAAAGAGTAGCCCAAGAGTTGGCGGTGGGTGGTGTTGACTAGCTGCTTTCCCTCTAGCCTATCACTGCTAAATTAGGGACGGCTAGCGCAGATAGCTCTCGTGTAGCTTTGCGCGAAATTCAAGACAAACCAAACTTAAGTAATATTTCACAGAAAAGTTTTCAATGATTGAAACAAGTGGTCTTGTCTTGCCACTATGTTGAAGTAGTTTGAAAGTCTTTGTTTCTTTCACAAACTAACAAAAACATTAGTCTCTCATATAGTTACTAATGGAAGAAGAAGATCCCCCCCCCTCCAGTGGCACAGCGGTTTGTCTGCGGACTTACAACGCTAGAAACCGGGTTTTGATACCCGTGGTGGGCAGAGCACAGATAGCCCTTTGTGTAGATTTGTGCTTAACTGGAAGAAGATAATTCTTTGTGGTTTCATAAAGTTTAGAAACTCGTTACAAATGTATATATATATATATATTTCGTAATATTTGAGGTACTTTCCAATTCTGCCACAATGTCAGCAAATTGGTACGATTACTGAAATTTAATTGAAAATGCTCTGGATAATAAAAAAAGAAACAGTAGTTCTTACAGGATTGAAATATTTTGAACAGTATTTAAATATTAGGAAGTAAATGTCTACGTAAATTTTAATTTTCAAGTTTATTTTTCGTTAGATGAACGTGTCATGAACGAAAGAAAAGGAACAGAAGAGGTAGGTTAGGTTTCAGAATTATAATTATACACATATTATATAAATACTTGAACGCCGGATGTATTTAACGTAAAACCACGTTTGTTTAAAAACATCTAACGAGTCGTTTTCAGGTGTACAATGAATGATCAACAAAGCTGTATCGTGTTGTTGTTAAACCTCAGAGCTCTGTTAGTATCAGATTTCAGATTGTTAACATTTAAAGCCTGATCAACTGCAACTAGCGAAACCTATTTGAGTATGTTTTTGTTGTATAACCGACGATTAAAATATTTAATAATAAAATAATGATAATAACTTCAGCGACTTTTTAAAATATTTTAAAGAAATGTAAAAATGATCTGAGTTAGTACAACCGTGAACATTGCTAAGATTAAATCATTTTCCCCTCCTAATGAAGACTAAATACGTGAAGCAATCTAACATGGACTGTGGACTGGATCTTTAGTTAGCGTGGACCAATACTGTTCTGTTTTTCTTGGACCTGTTTTAGTATTCAAACAAACTCTCTTGATAACAATGAATTTAAAATGACCGTTTTCTTTGCATTCTTCTCTTAGCTTTGATACTTAATTTGAAATAATAATGTGGTCTATAACCTTGTGATTCTGTTGTCTGAAAAGTATAACATCGTGACTATACAGCCCTTGGACTATAACTTGATGATTCTATGACCCATAGACCATGACCTTGTTACTCTACCATATATGGACTGTAGTTTCGATATTTATTAACTGATACTTCGTGACTCCACAGACCATGGACTATAACCTCGTGATTGCGAGATTTATTAACTGTAACCTCGTGATTCTACTGTCCACGAACAGTAATTAAGTGCTAATACAAGTACACTTTTTTTCTGTCAAATTTTAGGATGAAGGCGCTCGGAAGTATGCTGCAGGTAAATATTTCTGTTACTGATAAATTTCAAAAGTAGAGTTCTAGATTAGTTCATTTTTCAAGTTTTATCACACAAACTTTGTCTATTTTAATTTACTTTCAGCATGATTCACATTACTGATCTTTAATAAGTTAATTTTTTCAAGTTTTATCACACAAACTTTGTCTATTTTAATTTACTTTCAGCATGATTCACATTACTGGTCTTTAATAAGTTAATTTTTTCAAGTTTTAGCACACAAACTTTGTCTATTTTAATTTACTTTCAGCATGATTCACATTACTTGTCTTTAATAAGTTAATTTTCAAGTTTTAGCACACAAACTTTGTCTATTTTAATTTACTTTCAGCACGATTCACGTTATTGGTCTTTAATAAGTTAATTTTTTTCAAGTTTTATCACACAAACTTTGTCTATTTTAATTTACTTTCAGCACGATTCACGTTATTGGTCTTTAATAAGTTCATTTTTTCAAGTTTTAGCACACAAACTTTGTCTATTTTAATTTACTTTCAGCATGATTCACAATGTTGGTCTCTAGTAGACTAAGTTCGCTTTCTAATAACATGAATTATCAGTAGTTTAAAAGCATTTAAAATCTGGTGTTGGATTCCACGCAGTGGACAGAGTGTAGCTAAGAAAAGAACAACTTGAAGGCACATATTACAAGTCAAAACAGGGGTCAGTAACGCCTTCTATGTACAAATGTCCAACAATCTTACATGTTTTACTACGAAACCCACCATAATTTACGATTAAACTGACTGACAAGGTTAAGGAAAATTTATATATATAATTATACTTTGTGGAATTCATAACGTAGGTGTGAACAACGTCGAAAACGAATAGATATGGATGCTGTTTTTTTACATTCAACAAGAAACTCTAGTTGTAATTGTTGCTCTTTAAATATTTCAGTAAATTAAAATAAAATATTTTTGTACTAAAAAGTCATTTCTTTTACAAAGTTCTTAACTGAATGTATATATTTATACGAACTTGTGACGTGGTGAAAAAAAAATTATACAAAGTTTTTGTATGTAGGTCGGGTAGCTAGTTTAGAAATAATTGTTAAATATTGTCTACTCATAAGATATTTTTGAATTTAAATCATACATGAATGAGAAAATCAATGAAATATATGAGACTTCACAAATCTCAAGCATATTTTTTTTTCCTTTTAAATTTAGACGAAGAAGAAGAAGAAGGTGAAGACAAGGTAAGTCGTCAAGTTAATAATGTTATTAACTTGAATCACGTAATATTTTATAGTGATCTTAAGGGATTGAGCTAATCAGCAAGATTTAAATAGACATATCTGTAGGATGTATAAGACAAAAAATTCATGTCAAACCCGGTTTAAAACATTTTAACCGTAGGATTATATTTTAGGAATGCATGGGTTGTTTTGTTTTTGTTTTTGAATTTCGCGCAAAGCTACACGAGGGCTATCT